AGAATGATTTCTGAAGATCATGTGACACTGAAGACTGGAGTAATGATGCTGAAAATACAGCTGCACATCACAGGAATACATTATTCCATTTTAAATCATAAAAATATTTCACAATATTACTGCTTTTGCTGTATTTTGGAACAAATAAATGCAGGCTTGGTGAATTCTTTAAAAAAAAAAAAAAAAACATTAAAAATCTTACTGATCAAAAACGTTCGACTGGTAGTCTTATATACAAACAGTCATCAGTTTATATACGTGTGTGTGTGTGTTGTTTAGGTCACGTACAGCAGCAGTAAACATTATATATCCTCCTGCACAGCTCTATATCCTCCGTGTTTGTCCGTAATCCAGTCACTTATTTCCCTGAAACACTCTGAATTTATTATTTTTCGACTCCACTAAATATAAGGTGACTTCAGAAGCACGAGCGCTGCGCTCAACCCGACATGAGCCAATCACAGCCGTTTAGTGTCAAAAAACATTAAAAATCTTACTGATCAAAAACGTTCGACTGGTAGTCTTATATACAAACAGTCATCAGTTTATATACGTGTGTGTGTGTGTTGTTTAGGTCACGTACAGCAGCAGTAAACATTATATATCCTCCTGCACAGCTCTATATCCTCCGTGTTTGTCCGTAATCCAGTCACTTATTTCCCTGAAACACTCTGAATTTATTATTTTTCGACTCCACTAAATATAAGGTGACTTCAGAAGCACGAGCGCTGCGCTCAACCCGACATGAGCCAATCACAGCCGTTTAGTGTCAGGCTGGACCAATCACAGCCGTTTGGCGTCCGGCTGGACCAATCACAGCCGTTTGGCGTCCGGATGGACCAATCACAGCCGTTTGGCGTCAGGATGGACCAATCACAGTCGGGATGGTGCTTGTCTGGAGCGTTTAACGGGGTTCACATGTAAATCGAAACTGAAAGTTCGTCGTGTGATAACAGCGCATTTCTGATCGCTGCAAACCAAAGCTTCTGTCTTATCTATAGGTAAGTCCAGTGTGTTTCTTCTTATATCTGATATGATGCTGTCATATACATGTCACGATATTAGATGTGTGTTTGTGTGTTTAGTAGACTGAACTCGAGTTTACTGTGAGCTGTTTATTCGAGGAGTCAGGAACAGTATGTGAACAGCGTACGTTTATCATAAAATGTATTTATTAAACACATTTCTGCGAATTCGAATCACTTCGAAGTCAACTGTTATATTTTCATTGTTCTCTCTTTCTTAAAGTGAGAGTAGATGAAGTCTCTGTTTCCAGACAAGTGTTATGTATTTAATATTTGCGCGAGTGGAGTGAAGAGTGGACGGGACATTCCACCGAATGGGTAACATTTCTGTCCCCAGGACATTACAAGTATAAAAATGCATGAAAATGAACTCTAAAATAAATTTTATTATTGAGCAAAGTGTCTTCACATTTACCTAACTGCAACATTTTGAATGTATAATTAAAATCATTAATAAAAACTACCTAGAACACTAAATAAATAGTAGTTGTTGCATGTCCCCACTCCCTACATGTGGCTATTTAGCATGTATTTACTAATTCTATGCTAAAAACTCAGTCCTGTTACCTTCAGTCCTGTTACTCATATAAGCCATAACAGGACAGAGTAATAGTAACAGGAGTGAGTTGCATTCTCTGGTCCATTGATTTTACTTAATTACATGACTTAAAAATTATAATATTGTAGTTTGGTTCTCCTGTAAAATAAAAAAATGGCTTTGCATTTTTTTTTAATTACACCTTGTGTGCTTGTTTAGTGATATTTTAGTGACAAATATAAATTATTAAAACATTTTATCAACCATTTCTTTAAGATAAACACTATTATGAGTGGAAGACAAAGGAATTAGTTGAAATTTTTTTTAACATGCCTTTTAAAAGACACTTGATTTTTGGTAACAGGACTGAGAAAAATGCATCCATCCCCTACTTTAAAACCTTGTAAAAAATGTTAAAAAGGTGCCTGAGATTGACCAATGTACATTTCAAACAGTGAAATATGTGTGTTGTTAGATACAGTTGAAAAAAGATAAAAAATTAAGTTTAATTTTTAAAAGTTACAAAAGCAAATGTTACCCATTCGGTGGAATGTCCCGAAATAAAAAAATGGCTTTGCATTTTTTTTTAATTACACCTTGTGTGCTTGTTTAGTGATATTTTAGTGACAAATATAAATTATTAAAACATTTTATCAACCATTTCTTTAAGATAAACACTATTATGAGTGGAAGACAAAGGAATTAGTTGAAATTTTTTTTAACATGCCTTTTAAAAGACACTTGATTTTTGGTAACAGGACTGAGAAAAATGCATCCATCCCCTACTTTAAAACCTTGTAAAAAAATTTAAAAAGGTGCCTGAGATTGACCAATGTACATTTCAAACAGTGAAATATGTGTGTTGTTAGATACAGTTGAAAAAAGATAAAAAATTAAGTTTAATTTTTAAAAGTTACAAAAGCAAATGTTACCCATTTGGTGGAATGTCCCGGACAGTAAATGAAGCGGGAAGCTGAACGAGCCGGGACTCGAACTCGTGTCGCCCGCAGCGCAAACGCCCAATCCTCTGTGTTTCTCCCGTTAGAGCTGCGCGGCCTTGTGTACAACTACATGACTAGCATCCGCTTTCCGCTGTTTTTAACTATTCAAAACGGCTCGTTTTGCTCCTGGATATTGCGAACTGGTGTTTCTCATCATATTATTTTAATGTATTGTCTTAATACATTACATAAGACTATATACGTGTGTGTGTGTCTGTGTGTGTATACATACATACATACATACATATATATATGTGTGTGTGTGTATACATACATACATACATACACGTATGTATATATATATATATATATATATATATACACACACACCCATGTATGTATATATCTGTATATAAAATAAGTGTATCTATGATGGCAGGCAGGTCACTTTTATAAGTGTCTTTGGAAAAGAGCATCTGCTAAGTGTCTTAAATGTAAAACATGAGCTGTTTCATAATCATATCGTTTACATGTTATGATTTACTATGATTTTGTACAGGTCAGCTGGAGATTCAGAAACCAGAATGTCCAGCACTGTCATACCCGTGAACTCTTCAACGCTCGTCATCCAGTTTCAACCGCCAACACAATCAACACCTGTTACGACAAATGCTCCGGTGCCTGTTTATGTACAACAGGTGGCGGGAGTTTCACCTCTTCATGGACTTCAGGCATTTCTGAAAGGCCAGCCGAAAGCCCTTGGGGTGAGAAATGTCTTATAAACCCAAAGAATTGGTTTTCATTTGTGCATGTCAGTGCGAGGGAAGAAATGTACATGAATAAATTCTAAACGAGGAATTTACGCAATTTTTGTTGAAGAATGTGTAAATGATAAACCTGATCTTATATTGGTCAGAGTAAAACAGTTTGCAACTCCTAAAACATTGTTCTCTGTGACTGAAACACTGTAAAGTTTACTATCAAAAAATGTAAAGTAATCCAATCTTACACATCCGCAAATACAATGACCACACCTGCAGAATATTTTTTGTGATATTTTTCTAGTACAGTCGTAAGTCCATAACTACAGCTGGCATAAATGTTTATTGTATATATTATAGCGTTTCCCTTCATGAAAGACTATCTTGTCCTTCTCACACTTTCTGCATTCTTTTTGTCCCTCACAGACGGTCCAGATAATGATCGGTGTGCTGACTCTTCTGTTTGGCATTGTGTCTTCAGTTCATGCTGATCTTATCTTTGTCTATAGTGGTCTTCCTTACTGGGGATCTGTCATCGTAAGAAACAATTATACAACTAAGTGTTCTGTCTTTTATAAAACCAGCTACACATTACAATGCATGCCTAATTTTTTGTCTTTCTCTCTCTTCTCAGTACATAACTGCAGGCTCACTCTGCATTGCTGCCGAAAATAAAATGAATTCACCCTCCAGTTTGTGTTTGGTAGGTACACAGCAGTTATTACTTTTAAGGGTCTAAGCATCGTGCTGGAAGTACCAAAATAGTCTTCTGTTGTGTTTGTACTGATTTCTTCTTCTCCTATTTTTTTCGGCCCTAAAAGTATTTGGGCATCAGTGACCATAATTCATAGAGACCCCAAACTTATCAAGAAGGTCCTAAACATGCACATCTATTCAGGCACACAGATACATAAAACCAGGTGGCGCCATAATAATATGATTTGTATTTTTGAGTAACTTCTAGAAACAATTCATTTTTTCCCCGTGAATAAGTCTTATTCAAACGTACCATGAGACATCAGATCCGCCGCTCCGGTGGGAGACACAGATGTGATTATAAACGAATTCAAACAAAAATGAAACCATGTTTACCTCACGAACAATCAAAAATCCTTCCTCAGATATGCGCGTTGTTCTCGGGTACTTCTAAACAAGACGCTGTTTTCCGGTGGACTCGAAAGCCAATGCACTCCAGAATGAAAGCTGGGTTGACACGAGAACGCTATGTTAAGTAATAATAATATGTTTGAATTCCTTTATATGTTTATTCAGGAATATCTGCTGTATTTGATTGCCCATGATTGGCACAATATCACGTGTAGTATACCTTTTCATATGTTCTGGTCTTATTTAATGCTGCTTTATACTGATAACCAAGCATGTAATTATACGCCTTCAGGCTTGTATTATTTTTACAATGAAAGCGACAAGCAAAACAAAACCGATCAGAGACATATATCTTTATTATTAACCAACTACCCCATACTATAATTATAACAACCTGTTGCTTGGTAAACTATATATGTATTGTACATAAAATACATTACGCATACTATTTTTGACTTTTATTTATGAATATTAATTTGTTCATTCATTATGAATGTAAGAAAGTCTTCACTAAACCTTGTTCATTTTTAAGTGTTATCTCTGTTAAAATAAATATAACTCAATTATAAATATATATATATATATATATATATGTTTCAGCAAAAGAAAAGGCTGAATCTTTGTATGAATAATTAGCCATTTGTATTAGTTAAATAACAACAAAGCTCAAGTGTATTTAATTGGCTTAAATCTAATTCTATGTAATGAAATACTTCAGAGTTATGTGCCCTCTAGAAGCTTGTGTTCTGCAAGTGAACGAACGTCGCTTTATTGTTCATCCCAAAGAGGCACAAAATCACTTTCACAGACTTTTACATTAACTG